TATTGGCATCCTGTGTGCTCTATCTTATTAAATTCTCCTCCCCTCCCCAGTTTTCTTGTTTCCTATTTATTTCTTTCTTACTCGGAATTCTGCTTCTTAACAGATTTATAGTTAACATTCATTAAGGTTGCACATCTGGGCAAAGCCTGGTCCCTTCTGTCATGGAACTTTTACATATAAAAAATTTGATAGATATACAGGAGAATATACATAAATTAAGTAATATAGCAAATATTTCCCCAAATTTCTATTTTTCCATTTTTCTTCCTCCTTAGTCATTTTAAGGTACAAGAGAGGAGAAAAAAAAATACACATTCTTTTATCTTACTTTTCTCCATCCCCCTCTGTTCTACCCATATTACTTGGTGTTCTTCTAACAGTCTTGCGCATTATATCACCAAGTTTACCTTTCTTTCCTTCTTCAAATAGATCTTAAAGTCTATCCTATATATCCTGTAATATATGTACTATATAATAATAAATTAATTATGTTTGGAAAGCATTGGTGCCCATTAAAGGAAATCAGTGTATATAAATCTAAGGCATGATTATAATGATTAAAATAGCAAATATTGCTCAATTTTTCAATTTGATAATTTGTATTACTAATTTAAAAATTGGTTGAAAATGTTTAATTTCAGTGTTTTATTTTGAAGGACTTACAGAAAAATAAATAGGATGACTCAGATAAGTAGACACATTTAAAATATAGTCAGAGAATATTTCCTTTTACAGTAAAATATCTATTATCTGACATACTTATGTCCTCGGATGTTCTGCAAAATTGAATTTTCTGGTTAACTAAAAAAATTTTTTTCAATGATGATTACTTTGGTGAGGAGTTAATGTGTACTAACCTTAGAATATAGCTTGAAAATTGTTTGAGATAAACTGTTCTCTTTCAGATTTTTTTTCTTGTAGGAGTATAGTATAGCCAAATGTTTCTCTTACGTTAGGATTTTGGTTATTTGTGTTTCAGATAATCAGAGTTTTATTGCAACAGGCAAACTATTTGGAGGGAAGAAAAAATGGACTACCATATACTCTAAAAGATAGAGAAATGTATTGTGAATACCACAAGTTTCATTAAACAGATAATTGTGAATAATTTAATTTTGATAATAGATGAACATCTGTATAGGAGGTTTCTTTTTTGGGGTACAATATACTCCTCGTCTTAAAAGTAACAAACAGGACAAAACTCCACACTTTTTACAGAGCAACTCCTATTAGTATCTCAATCAACATTCCTTAATTCCTCTTTTGAAAAAATCCTGTATCTGTGTTTCAAAGCTTAATATTAATTGTTTTTTTTAATTCTCTGGACTGTGGTTTTAAAAAAGAAAAATGCAAAAGACTTTAAGAAATATATGCCAAGTAATTTGCTGTTGCCTTTTGTTTTTGTTTTTTACGTTATCAGTTTTTATTTTTACAGAAAAACAATCCAAACAGCTGTGCCCTTTATGTGTTAATTCTTGGAAATAAAAAGAAAAATAAAAGCACTTGTCTTATTAAAAAAACTGAATTAAAGGCATAAGAAAGGAGGAAAATAAAAATTGTTTATGGTTTGCCACAAAACAAATATTTAATTAGAAATAAAAACTGTTCAGGCTGACGTCCTATAAACTGAACCCTCTAATGTAAATAAATCTTGTGCTTTTTTTTTAAAGCGTAGGTTTGAATCTATTTAAGTACTGTTTTCATAAGCTCATTACACGCTATTTAACAAATTTAAAAGCTATTAGACACTATCAGGTAAATACATTACTTTTTCTCTCTAAATTCATGAGTGAACAAATGTTTGTATACATAAAAGGCATATAAACTGTACTAGAGTTACTACAGGAGCTGGTAAATCTGCTTTGTAAAGGCTACCTTTGTGATCATCTAAAATACTAAATGTAGGCAATAAATAGTGGTTTATAGTAAAATTACAGTATTTGCATTTTATACTTTGCTACCTCAGAGTTAATGTTATAAAGGATACCAGAAGCAATTAAACTTCTGTCATACATTGATTTTTCTTTTCTTTTTCTTTTTTTGGCTAGGCAATGGGGTTAAGTAACCTTTCCAGGGTTACACAGCTAGTAAGTGTTACATGTCTGAGGCCAGATTTGAACTGAGGTCCTTCAGAATTCAGGGCCAGTGCTCTATCCACTGCACCACCTAGTTGCCCCTCATCCATTGATTTTTAAACTGGGTGGTTTGAAGTAGTTGGAATTGAAGACTAAAATATTTTAAAACTCTATTTTAAGTGTTTTTTCTGTGTAATTCTAAGAATAGTTGAACTAATTTGTATCTCTGTTTGAAAACAAAATTGACTAAAGGTCTTGCTGTTAAGTGGGATCTTGTCAAAGTTTAAACCTTATCCAAAATAAGCTGTCACATAGAAAAGAGAATATTAAATGATACTAAGTACTAAAAGAAATGTTTTTAAATGAAGAATTGAAAATTGCTTGGTCTCTTCTGTAAATACTATTGCTGTTGAAATTTTATTTTTTTCTGAAGAGCAACTATTTGGAGAGGCAGTGTCGTATAGAAGAGGGACTTTCTTCCCTAATTTTTGATCTCTGTGACTGTGGGTAAGTCATTGAATATCTCTGAGCCTTACTTTCCTTATCTGTAAATGAGAGTGTAGAGGCAGTCTGGTTTAGGTGATAGAATGCTAGTCTTAGAATCAGGAAAATCTGAGTTCTAATTCTGCCTTTGTCACCTATTTAGCTCTGTGACCTTGGGCAAGCCACCTGGTAGGTCTTAGGCAGCTAGCTCCCTAAGCCTTTTCTGTTTTCTGCAGTAGTACAAGAAATTTCCACACAGGGACTTTACTACACTGATAGTATCACAGAAGAAATTAAGTGTAATAATACTTGAATAAATCACCTCAAGGTGTTGCTGTGGAATAAGAGCTTTGTAAACCTTAGAGCTCTTTCTATATGAATATGGATTATATTTTGAATAATGCTTGTTTATACTATATTTTATTGAAATATGGTATCTTTATTTGTTTGCCCTGTACTTCTGTATTGAATTGATTTAGGAAATAAGGCACAGGAAAGCTGTGGTTTTTGCCAGGATTCTATAGTATGCTAGCATTAGTACCAAATAATATTCTTATTTCTCTTGTGACCTCACGACCTTTATTTGATTGCATTGTACTGCATTTCCCTTAGGATTAGGGTACTCAGCAAAGCAAAGTTAATGAATCCTTTTTATCTGTGTGAAAGAGTTAGATAATTTGAAAGATAATATAATTTTTGTTTAGAATATTATAAGTGAAAAAATTATTTTTAAATGGCTCACTACTTGTATTTTATTCGAGTCATTTAGAAGAAAATACAAAAAAAGGAAATGAAAAAATTGTTCTGCTGATTAAGTCAGATGTTTGTATGTCGAAGTAATAAGTCCTAGTGGAAAGTAAACTGGTTTTGTTTTCAGAAGACCTATGTTTGGTTACAGGTTCCCTCACTGCAAGGCCCTTTCCAAATCGATTGCTAGAATTTCCTAATTAAATAACTTCTCTGAGCCTTAGTATCCTTTTCTAGAAAATGGGGATAATAAGACTTGAAGGAACTCTCAAGAATTGGTGAGAGGAAAGTGCTTTTAAAACTTGTTTTATCAACAGTTTTTAGCATTTATTAATATGTTGTTATAGCATACAGATAAGTGGAAAATAATTCAAGACAGCTTTATTTTTTTATAAGCACCTTTTCTCCCCAGGAGATAAAAACTACATAATAATAATAAAATAACCATTTTTTGACATAGTTTGCTCAATTGGAATGACCATCACTTAATTCTGGATGAGTAGATCGTGAATCATTTGCAAGCCTTAGAATCATTATTTCAATCAGTAATTTAATAGTTTCCTAGCATCCATTGAAGACAAGAAAGAGGATTTTCAAAATTTCGTGTCTGAATGAGATACAGAAGGAGAAATGGTGATGGGTGTGTTATGATGATAATGATAACCAGGGTACAAATAAAACTTGCATTTTGTGTACTGTGAGGCTATAGTCCTGTCACAGAAATCACATTTGATATTGGAGGCAGCTCTGAAGTTTATTATAAAAAAATTAAAAAGAGTAGGATTTGCTGGTGGTATCTTATGTTCTCCATACATAAAAAAATATTTATTTAAATTCCTCCCTCTTATATTTAATTCCAGTAATTTTAAAATGCAATTCACTTTTTAAAAGAAAGACCTAAAGGTTATTCTTTAATTTTTTTTTTACCATAGTGAAAACTACATATTGTAGGCTTATTGCCACCTTCATCATATAAAAATCATTGCTTTAGGTTTTTTTTCATTATATAATGTGGTATTTTATTAATACACCTGAGTTTGCAATTTTCTTCTTAATCCTTTGCCTGTTCAGGTTTTCACTCTTGAAAACTGAGAAAAGGAGTTGCTAATTTTTTTCTATATGTGATTATGGATAGAAGAAAGAATATATAAGGTTAATTTTTAGATATATTGCTTATAGTAAATATGGGCTATTGTGAAACAATGATTGACTTAAGGAAGTAAATTAATTCTAATTGATTTGAATTATAATTTGAGATTTTAAATTAAAATGATATTTAAGTTAAACATTAACTTAAGTGTAGCTAGGGTATATGGCTCAGAGAACTCAATTAAAAAAATAAAGCATACAGGTTTTGATTGAATTTTAAAAGTGTATACTGTTTTAAGGCTATTCATTTATTTTAATTTTTTAGAAAATATGACTTACATGAATATTTTTCTAGTGGACAGAATAATGACAAAATATACACAATGATGTTACTTTAACAAACTGCCATGCAACATATACATTAAATAATGAAGAAATTGAATATATAAGACCTAATCTATTTCACATTTAATATTGAAATTTTACACTATAACCAATACTTTAAAAATTTCCCCCTTATTTGGCAGTCATGTTTTTTACAGTTAAAAAAACAAAACAAAACAAAATTCTTGGGAATGGGGATTTGGTGAAAACTTGTTTTTTTGCTTAGTCTGTAACAACCTGTGGTACTAAACATTTCTCTCTTACTTCACTGTCTTCAAAAGTAATTGTTTTATTCCTTTTAGGATCTATCCAAGAATTGTGTATTACAGCATTATTAGGCATAGGATCTGCTTCCACAATTGAAACAACTCGCTTTTTCATTTTACTTTTCAAGACTTTTTGAAATTTTTGTCTAGTAAATGCATATAGTAAAGGGTGAAATATGGTAGTTCCATAGGCCATAACTAGAAAACACAATCTTAGTTTTACCAGAAGGTCACTTGGGCCCAAACATAAAATGGTGGTGTTTAAAACAGAAATTGGTGTCCAGCAGAGAAGAAATGTTGAAATAATCAACAGAGACATTCGGAAGACTCTCTTTTGCCTCTCCCGTCGTTCTCGGTGTCTCTTCACGGCTCGCCGGAGAGCAATTATGACAGAAACAGAAGTTCTTACACCAAAAACTACATTTCTCCCGCCACTGCTTTGGGATACATCGGTAGTCTCATGCTGTGTGGTCAGAGAAATTGTCTTTTTTTTTCTTGCTTTCTTCTTTTGCCCTGTTGAAAATCTTGTGCCTATTCGAATATTTAGGGCTTGAAGTATTTTGGTGTAGGTAATTAGCATTACTATAACAGTGAAAAAGAAGATTGGAATCTGTACTAGCAAGTGATAGTACATCCCCAGCTCAGTGTGGTATTCATTTCTACTGACACAGAGAAGTGTCTTGTTTTTCCATCTGCTTTCACTTTGAAGACTGAAAAAATTGACCTCGATAAAGGGAATTAGGAAAGAGAAAAATGAGACAATCCATATGGATGTCATTAACATGACAGCTCTTCCCATCGTCAGAATTCGGTTTGCAGGTTTTACAGAGATATCATATCGGTCCAAAGTGATTGCAAAAACGTTGATTGCAGTTGAGACACTTGCAAAGGAAACACAAGCCTCATGGAAGCAACAGATGAGAGCGGTATTACTCTCCAACGAAAGTAGAAGAATAACTATAGTTAGAGGTATACATCCCACACAAATAATTACATCAAGTACATGAAGATTCATTGTAATAATGTTACTGACAGAGTTGATTAAGTTGGATTTCATGCAGTAAAGTACCAATACTGTGAGGTTACTGCCAAGTCCCAGTACAATTTCTAACATGAGAAATCCAGTGAGAGATACTTGAAAGCTTAATGGATATGATGATGATGGGTACATATTGGTGTTGATGTCATCAATGTCATCTCGGACTGTAATGTTAGATTCAGACTGCATGTTGATTTCCGGAATGGGAGAGAAACACATTCTTTTGGAGCAGTTGGCTTTTTTCCTAGAAAGTGAAATAAAATAAACTATTTGATTTCCATACTTGTAATCACTTGGATAAGTAGCTAATGTATATGTTCTCTTCCTGTCAAAAATCTGTTTACTCTTGTATGTATTTCTGGATTTGATGTTTAGCAAAATTTACAAGGAAGAAAATTTGTCAATCTTAATTCATCAAGTTTACTTTGTTATGCCATAAAAGGGCATTTAGAATGTACATATACATATGTGTATGTGTGTTTATATATATATATATATGCACACATATATTCTTGAAGAATCATTCATCTAAGGCTTTCCTTTATGTATTGTAAAACGTTTTAAATATTAAAAACATGTTTTGTTGGAAACTTTTCACTTTCATTTTTAAAAAAAGAATGGTTTGAAAATCCATTAGCATAGAAATGCTACTTTTAAAATTCAATTAAAAATTTCTAAATTGTTAGAAAATATATATATTACATATTCAATATTGATGTATAAATAGTATAAGGGTAGATCTCCCTTTGAGATGTTTTCTTGTGTAAAGATTTCAGATGAAAAATACAGTTTTTAGGTATTATGTATTAGGATACTAGTATTCTTTTAAATACTATTTCCCTATTATTGATTTGAAAAATTTACATTACATAGCCAATAGTGTGTTATGGTTTCATAAGAAGTTTCCCCCATGATACCCAAATTTTTAAGTATTGTGATTAGAATAAAAATATTTCATATTGGTCATTGAACTTTATATTATACAAATTTGTGAAAAGACTTTAAAAAGATGCAAAAGGAAGTCACCTTGACGTGTACCAGGACAGTGAAACTTTAATAAGATGACACTCAGCTTTCATGTGGAAAGTTTATTTCATGACCGCACCCTCTTATGGAGCCTGAGAGTTGAAATTTAACAGCTCAATAATAAATTTGCATTTTCAAGATGTTTTAAAGAATTTAACTATTGGCTTTATTTAAATCTAGGGTTTAAAGTGAAAAATGAGACTCTGGATAAGTCCCAGAAATGTGTATTTTGGAGAGTTTTTTCAATTGTACTTCTGAAGTTATTAGAAATGAATAATTTTGAAAAGAATCAGAACATATCATCCTTTGCTATTGGTATAGATTAATTTTTAGTACCTAAGCCTGTAGATCAATTTGCAGGTAAAATGTGCATCTTTCAGCATGTGCAAATGTCATGTAGACAATATTTTACATTTCTGAAAGAAAGCCAATCAGCCATCATTTCACATATTTGAAATATAAAATGTGAGCTAAAGTGATCATAATCTTAGACATGAAGTAGGAAATATAAACTTCAAAATTGAACTTTACCTCTTCATATTTTGCAAGTTTTGCCAGGCTTATATATAATTCCAGGATATAGATCCATTCATATTGTTAGCTTAAAAAATGATTTCCGAAGCTGCTTTAAGTGATTCTAAGATTGAATTCTCTTGAACACAATTTAAACTAGAACATTATTAAAGGCGTATTTGTTCAAATAAGGCATGGTCAGAACTCCAACCGAAATCCTGTGAAAATGGAAAATTTTAAATGTGCCAAATGTTTTGAGCTGACAGATTAAACATCAGGTCTTTGTCACATCAGTTAGATTTATGATTAAATAAAAGCAAAAAATGTCAAGTTAGAAACATAATTAGAAAAATACATCTTCATGTCAGTGTTCTCTTCTCTTGTAAATGTTAAACAGTGGTTGGGTGCATGCATCTTTTGACCTACCTGTTTTCTGTTGCCTCAGGGGTCTTTCAGCTCACTATAGCAGTTTTTCAAAAATTGATACATGGTATCATTGACAGATTTTTGACATGCATTTTCACCTGGCAACAGTGAAGTAGCAATGTTCTATTTCCTGCCTTGTAGAATATTTCATTTATTTTTGTTCCAACACTTCAGCAGCAAGATTTATGTTTAAAAATGAGATTTTATTGGCTGATAGATTTCTAAGGACCAGTACACATTATTTGTGTTTCTTTTGCTTTTTAAAGCCACTACTAATAAAATCAAGAACTTCTTAAGTGATATTAATTATATTGCCCTTTTGAAGACTATATGGCTGTGTATTTTTATTTTCCAGGATAAGTGAAAATAAAAATAGAGGCATCAGATTTCTGGCTTTAGAAATGTATTTAGACATCCTTTTGTTACAACTGGACATTTGTTTCTATAGTACTCTTGTTCATTAGTTGGACTAATGTCTTGATCACATAAATTTCTTTACATTATGAAATCCAGTTCATGAGCTTTTGATAAAGACCATCTGCTATTTAATTTGGTTTATTTTCATTAAAGAAGGATACATAACAGATCAAGAAATTCAGAGAAAAAATATCCATTAGTCATCGTGACAATTGATATGAATAACTTAATTTGTAGTGCAGAGAACCTGATACAGCTTCATTTAGCTTGCTGGTGAAGTATGTACATTCTCCTTTTGAAAATTCATTTTTCATTGTTTCTTCATGAATCAGTTGTTTCCACAATTTTGATATTTAAAGTAGAAAATCCTTTTAAAAATGCTCACCATTTTGTTTTCAGCCATATACCATTGCATTCTTCTCGTGAAAATATCCAATGTCTTCTCTTCAGAGTACTGATTTGTTATGCATGCAAGCAGTCATAGACTTATTCCATGTTTTTCCTTTAACTCCTTTATGTCTTTAGAAATACACATTATATCTTGTAGCTTGTGGTTCAGACTGCTAGAAAGATGTTCAGTCATTTGCATTCTTCGTAGTGTCAGTAGCAAAAACTGAATTAGATGATTTATGTGCTTGGGAGAAAAAGGGAAAAAAAAGATTTAAGATAAAGGGTATCTATTAATTTTAAATTAATAATTAAAAAGCTACCGTGATACTATTTATGTAAAACCTATTTATAAAAATACATTAGCTCTATTATTAGACCTAGAACCATAATGTAAAATATAAGGAACATCCTTTTACTCTGCAAAATTTTTACTCCCTAGTTAATGATAGTGTTAACATTGCCAGTGAAAGAAAAAGAGAAAAGCTGATTGCTTAACAACTGTTTTCTATTTCCGTATTTAAAGCTAGCTTATATTTTCAGATCTTTGAAGTAAATTTATACTATACACACTGATGTCTTCTTGTCTTTGTGATAAATTTGATAAAGCATCAGCTACCTTAGGAGCAATACAGCTTGTTTAATAACTGTTTGAACATTGCTTGAAATTTGCTGTCCCAAACCAATCTCATATCAGTATTCTACAGGTAAAATTTTCATTGGTGTTTGGTTTAAATAGTGGAAATAGATAAGCTAATGCAGAAAGGTGAGTGCACATATAACTGTGTTCTATGAACAAATCTATTATTATGCTTGTGCTAATGGTATTAAGCAATAAAAACAGCTATATAGTGAACCTATTATTCCTTAAAAGAATTTCCTTATGCATCAATGTGTGTAAATTTTTTTTTTTTGAAAAAAATCTATTTGGACATTTAAGATATTTAGCTAGTTTAGAGTGACTTAAAAGCAAGTTTTACTAGTGAATTAACAGAAAATGTCCTTAATACTCAATCAATGCATTTTAAAAGAATTGCATGTTTAAAAAGCAATGCTTTTAAAAAAAACACCACTAATACATGCTTTTCAACAGGCAGAATTAAACTCAAACATTCTTAAAATTTAGGCAGAACCAAACCATCTTTTTTTCCAAAGTAATTTTACCAAGCACAGATTATGCTGTTTCAGGAGCAATTAATAAGGAACGTATCTTACCTCTGCTTAAAGATTGGTTATATTCTTGATACAGTTGAAGCATTTCCAGTTTTGATTGATTCATTTCGTTCACTTGTTAGCAGAGTACTGAGGGAAGAGGGTCATAAACATCTCTTCAAAAAATGACCTTAATGAAAATATGTTCCTGGACTGTGCCATTGTTTCAGCACTCCTGCTAATGTATGGAACATGTAAGGCTGCTTAGAGGCTGCTGCAGTCTCTCACTCTTCCGACTGTGGAATCAATAAGCATCTGAAAATACATAATGAAAGTAATTTAACATACTGAAGGCTTCTTGTCTCCAGAGGCAACATTTAGATTCAGCAGCCTTTCTAAAGAAGAACAGCAGTGCTTCTCAGAGGAAAGCCTGTTCTGGGCAGCGTTTGCAGAATGACAGCCTACCTTGTCGCTTCTCCTCACTGCAGAGAGATGCAGTGCATTCACTAATTTTGATTGGTCAGTTGTGTTGGGCTTAAACTGTGCTACATATGTATAGCAGTGATTCCACCCCCCCCCCCGCTACTGTTTTATATATGGATGCTTTTTCAAAAGGCTAAATTTGTAAATGTATTGAATGTGACTCTCAAATAGATTATGCACTCATTAGTGCATAATTTATCTTTAAAATAATTTGCTCTATTTTGGTTTGTTCTTCAATAGTGCCAGCATGGAAGAAAATGCAATGATGGAGAGAATTACACAGTAGAAAGTGTATATTCTTTTTAGAGCCTTTGATAATTATATTTAAGAATATCTTGGTGCTATATAATCTTTTTGTTGAAATTCTTTGTCCTATAATAAAAAAGGAACTACTGCATCTTTACTATGAGCCAAATTGAATTTTAACCAGTGTGTTTGTATGCAGGTCTTTATTCTTAGTGTGTTCCAAATGAGTCTATACAAAACAACATATTTAAGATCATTACAAATACCTTTATTCATTCAACAAATGTTTGAGTCCCTACTATGTGCAAGGCATAGTTTTAGTCACCGAATGCAGCAGAATATTTATCGCAATATGATCAGAATATTATTTTCTTATTAACAGGTAGATTTTTGAATTTATGTATACAGTACAGTAATATGGTTTGAAAATTCTATTTTCTTGCTTGCTCATTTTCATCATTTTCATCAACAAGTAACTAGGTTAATAGTATGTTTTAGAAAAACGCTATAAAATTTTATTATATTAGGGAATATTAATTTGTTTGCACTTTTAGTGATACTTTTATTTTATACTTATTGGCCATTTGCTAACATAATTTCTTTGTACTAGTTAATGCTGTCTTTGATATTTATGTTTGTATGTTTTTTCTGAGAAAGCAAGTACCTATACT